ACCCACCCATGTCCAAACCCTCAACCCCCACACCCCTCTGCATCCCCCCCTCAGCTCCCCAGCATGGGACGGGGGGAAGCGCTCAGCCTCGCCATACCCCATCGGGGCTGGATCTGGTCAAGCCCTGGGGATAAAAACGGGGGATAAATTTGCTCCGGGCAGCTGGTTACCTGCGTGCAGCCGCTCTGCACCGTCCCGTGGCTCTCCCCTCCGGTCCAGCAGCTGCCTTCGCTTTCCGGAGGTGCTAACTGGCCTGGCCAGGTAGGACCCATTTTTATATGCTCGCCCATGTGATCCAAACAAATGCCCTAGGGATGAGTTTTTGCACTGACACAAATAAAGGGGCCGGGACTAAAACCTGTTGAACCACAATCCGTGCTCAACAGACAGGAATTTTCCACTCGGAGCTCAGCCCCGGCGGCACGCGCCAGGGCCCACATCTCCCCGCTCCCAAAATCCCGTTTCCCTGCACTTCCAAAGTCTTTCAGACTCATTCCTAAACCCTTCCTGTATTGCAGCTGGAGAAGATGAACCCGATGATGGAGGGATGGATGGGAAGTGGGAAGGAATACGTTAGAGCCATTGGTTATATCTAAACTCTGCAAATCATTTGCTATTTCTCCCACGACCCTTGGAAGAAAACACAGCAGAAGACGCCAGCCAGGGTGAGAAATGGAGGGGAATCCTTTGCCCCTGAAAAAAAACCAAACGTTCCCTGCGGCCCTGGGGCTTGGCAATGGTACTTCTGCACAAGCTGGGGGGTGTTCTGGGAGCCACGAGATGCTCGGCCCGGGGGTCCCTGACTGGGACGCTCCTGGCAGCCCCTCAGGGATGGTGCTGGGATGGTGCTGGCGAGAAGGAAGGCAGGTACCAGGGCAGGGGGAGTCCAAGTGACCAGAAGTAGCCAGGATGGGAATGGAAAGGGGAGGGTGAGCTTCGGATGAGCAGCGGTGAGTCAATGGGAACCAAGGGACCGGGGAAATGGCCACGGGCCACGGAAAGGAGAGGTTGTTCCAAGGGGTGACTCAGTGGGACCAGCTGGTGAGTCAGTGGGAGAGGAGGGACGAAATGGGCTGGTGGGCAGCAGATGAATGTGGGGCTTAAAAAAAAGGGAGGAGGAGCCCCCAGGGCTGAGCCAGCTCTGCTCGGGCTGCTCTTGGAGGGACTGGAGCACCCCAGGAGAATGCTGGCTGCAGGCACCGATTTAGCTGATAACAGGCAGAACGTGCTGCTCAGCACATGCATAGCTTTTTTTTTTTTTTTTTTTTTTTGGTGCAGGTCTTGCCTCACCTTTTCATCAGGTACCTGCGCTGCCGTGCGTGCCTGGCACCCAGGGCTCCCACAGGCAGCACGTTCTCCTGGGAGGCCCCAGAGCTCTTTGCTCTGCCCTGAGCTGAGCTAAGCTCGAGAAGGAAGCCAGAGGGATTTTTATGCTTAATTTTGTGATTGGTACTAAAAAGCCTTCTGTTTTGCTGCATCACAAAGCAAGGAAGGTGTTCCCTGCCCGGTTTGCAGCTGCTTGCTCTGCACAACGCAGAGCATCCAGCCAATGGCCCTGGCCTCTGCAAACTGGGGTGCTCACTGGTGCCCCAGCAGCGGGGGTCACCCTGAGGGGGGGGGTGCCAGCCCTTGACTTTGCAAACTGCCCCCCCTGCTCAGCCTCTGAGCCAGCTCCAGGGCTCAGCCCTGCCAGGACCAGCCGTGGGGCTGGGGCTCTGCCAGACCTGGCCGGGCACAGACTCCCCTCTGCTGCCGGCTCCTCCACTGCTGCGGGACTGGGGATACTGGTGGTGGAAAGAGGGGTAGGTGGGAAAAGGGGGGACTGGCTGGCTTGTTGAGTGTTGGAGGGTGTCAGGTTGTTTTCCCTCTTGTTTTGCAGCCGGTTGGTTTGTTGGGGTATAAGGGCAAGGGGCTGGGGGGGGACGACACAGTCAATAGGGGTCACCTTGGGGTCCCCTTCAGAGCCAGGGTGCCAAGACTCTGGGAGTGAATTCCTGGGGAGGGGGAAGCTGGAAAAACCTTTGGGAAAAGGCACCCCTGCTCCGGGGTCCCCCCACCCATGGGGACCAGCTTTGGGGGGGCCTGGGGCCACACTCTGCATGGAGCTGGGGGGGGCCCTCAGGGCTTCCCAGGGGAACACCCTTGCTGGGACTCAGCTGAGCTCATTAAACCTCCATGAGCCCCCCGCAGCAGACCAGTTAAACCCCTTTAAGGAAGGGTTAAGCCAGTTTAGTGTGATTTGGTAGTCTATTGATGTGAAGGTTAATCTGGTATAAGTGCATCGCCACTGGGGATTTGGGCCAATTTAACTAGTCTGTCTCCCTGTTTTGTCTGTACGACTTAAGGAAGGGTCCAGCCTGCTCTCCCCTTCATCTCGGGCTGCAGAGAGCCCCTGAAAGAGGGAGAAAATAAACCGGGGACTGAAGAGAAGAGCCACATGCAGGATGAATCTGAAACAGTGCTATATATAGACCTCTCTGCTCAGCCGGCCTAAATTCCACGTAGGTCCCTGTGCCCAGCTGGCTGCGGGGGGCAGCGGGTGGGTGAAGCAGCCAGGTCCCACCAGCCTGTTGCACCCTGTTGGGGTGACTCGTGGGGCCAGGCTCAGCCCAATCTGAGTCAGAGCAGAGGATGCTTCTTCCTCATCCCCAGCTCCTCATTAACCCGCTGCCCCAGGGCTTTCCCACGAGCATCACCCAGCCCAGGCGGTGAGATGTCAAGGACTGGGAATGGGTGTTTGTTTATTTTATTTTAATTTTTTTTCCACTGTCATCCCTAAAGGGCTGTAATCACAATTAGGGCATCCACGAGGCACGGGGCAGAGACACACCTTCTTGCCAGGGTGCAGCGTCCGGGAGAAGGGAGGAAGAGGAGGGAGGGAGAAAGGTGAAAGCACCTGCCTGGGGTAGGTGACCCCTCCATAACCCAGTCGCTGTGCTGTACCCTGCCCACGCAGAGCCCCTGGGTGGGAGGTTGAGCAGAGGCCACACCTGAGGGTTTCTCGATGCTTTACCTCCGTGCTGGCATTTGCAGCAACACTCGGTGGCTTCCCCTGTCTTTGGGAGCAGGGGAAGGTGCTTAAGGCTGGAGCTCGAGCCAGAAATTTTAATCGGTGCTGAGCAGCTCCTCGGTGGGTTGCAGCAGCCTCTCAGCAAGCGTGTGTGGCTGGATGGATGCAAATGGGAGCTAATTGCATTAGGCAGTGCCCTGGTGAGCAGCGGGGCTGGGCGGCGTGTGTGCCAGCACCGCTGGGATCCGGGAGCTGCCAGGCTGCGGAGCTGCTGGCGCTGGAGGAGAGGAGGCTCCTGCACAGCTCTGCGCCTGCCTTGTGACTGCGAAATGTATGCGCTTAATATAGGCCAAATGAAAACATTCTTCCCAAAATAGAAGACCTTCCCCAGAAAGAGCTGCAGCTCCGGCAGGAGCAGTCACAAGGTGCCTGCCGTGGCCGGGTGGGCTCTGGCAGGGGTGGGTGGGCAGCGTTGCACGCCCAGCCTGCAAGGGGGCAGGCGGCTGGCTCCCGGCGATGCCACCAAGGTCACCGGCCACCAAGGTCACCTCCTGAGGCTGCTGTGCATACCACAGCCGCCCAGTGACCCTCCCCAAAACCCACCCGATGCTGCTCTGGGAGAGGGGTTTGTGGATGGGGAGACCACCGGCGGGGTTTGGGTGAAGGTGGGGGGGGGAGGCAGAGGCGGGTGTCTCCATGGGTGCTGCTGTCTCCTGCGGGCACGCCGGGGCAAGCGCTTGGGCTCAGGGCAGCGTCGGATGCTGCAGAAGCTGAAACGTGTTTCTGCTTGTGGTGCTGCTGGAGCTGGGGTTTGGGATGGGACGGAGCTGGCAGGAGGAAGAAGGGGGGAGCCCTGCGTGCTGCAGCGCAGGGGTGGCTCTGTGGGCTGCTGCCAGGCTCGGGGTGGAGGGGGGACCCTGCACCTTTCTATCTGCTTCTTGCCTGGCAAATCTTGACTATTCCTCCTCTCCTGAGTGCTCCTGCAATGCCCAGCTGAGGGAGAGGGGCTGGCACTGGGGGGCTCTGCCAAGGAAGGCTTCGGGGGTCCTGGGTCTGCTCTGCTGCTGGGTTTGTCCTGCACTGCATCTGCTCCTCTTGGGAGGCGAGTGCAGGAGCCTGCAAGGTGCTAGAAACTTCAAAGGGCAAAATGCATCGTGGAACCCCTCCCTGATGCCCTAGAGATTCCTGCTTAGAGGGTGCTGCGGGTCCAAACCCCCTTTGGGGCTTTGACCCTTCCGCCGTGGTCACTCAGGACTTTCTCTGGTGCTGACAGTGGCAGCATTTAATCCAGCTTGCCCGGACACAGCTGCCTGCCAGGAAAATGGGGCAGGCAAGGGTTAGAGTTCAGACCTGGGGCTTTAGCAGGTAAAAAAAGAGAAAAGCCAAAAATCCTTCTCTGTTAATCTCTCCGGCTGCACCAGGGATCTGTATCCTGTGTTCTGCAAACCGCAGAGCTCTGCTGTTGCAGCCTGCAGGCTCGGGGAGGGGGGGTTTGGGAGGCCTGAATGCAACCACCCTGCTCTGTATTTTACCCCAGCATCTTATTAACGCTGTAGACACCCAGAAATACAGGCTCAGCTACTGAACTCTTGCACTTGTCTGATCTAGGCAGCGATATCATCTGCCTCCCCCGAGCAGGTTCAGATTCATCTTATTCCAGTAACGCACCCAAGGGCTGGCGCTGCTGCTGGGCGCTTGGCTGAGGGCAGTTTTGTTTTCTGCAGTGACAACCTGGGTCTTTTAACTCCTGATTCTTACGTGGCACTAGGCAGACCCAGCAAAACCGGAGACCACCTGGTCCAAATAAAGCTGTCACATCCCCTAAATGCCTTTAATTCTTCCCAGAACCTCCCCATTGCCCAAGGAGGAGGAGCTGCCCCCACAAATCAGTGCAGATGCAAATTTACGGCGTGTTCTGGGACAAGTGCTTTTTTAATTCACAAAGCTCTTGCCCTGAGGGTTGGCTGGGGCAAGGTGAAGACGACCTTGTGGTGACTCAGTTGAAGCTGGGAATGAAATTGTTAGCCATGCAAAGAGGGAAATGTGAGGACAGCCTATGAAGAGGTGAGATAAAGAGGCACAGCGTGGCCAGGGCATGGCTGGAGGTGCAGCAGGTTATGAATGGGGAGAGAGGATGTGGGTTTTTTCTGCTTCCTTTGCTGATTGCTATGGAAAAAAAAATAATATCTGAAAAATAGGCTTCCTGCAACACAAAGATTGAGGGAATTCCCCTGGCTGCTGAGGCTCTGCCAAGTCCTTGCAGTCTTGCTGGTGGATATCAACAGTGTAAATATTTTTTTTCAGCTGTTGTTCAGAATATAGGAATTGGTTTCTGAGTTTCTCGGGACCCTCTGTGGGACCCTCATGGGGAAACTGAGGCAGAGAGGAGCCCGAATCAGAGGGAAATGCTGGACCTTGAAGGAAGAGCTGAACTCTTTCTGCATCAGCTGAGCTGGGCCAGTGCTTGGGGGTCTTGGGTGGGTGTGCAAGGAGCAGATTTATTGCCTAGAAATGCCTTTGCTCATGCAAAGCAAAGTGAATTCTTGTTTTCATGAGCATTAGAGCAAAGCAACAGTCTTGGCTCTGTGGAAAGAAAGGGATAGAGTTTCTAACGGACTTTAGTGGTGAGCTGTAACTTTGCTGCAGCCTGAAACAAACTGGGGGGGGTGGGAACCCACGGTGCCACAGGCTTCCTGTGACACAGGACTGGTGAAACTCGGACCCAGCAATGCCCCCCTGCTCTGCCCCTGCGGGCAGTTAGTGTCTGGGGAGAGCCGAGGTCGCCTAATGAAATGGGATGGAGGTAAACTTAGATTCCATGAAAAAAAAAAAAAGCTTTTTATGGCGCGGGGACTTAGTGCTGGGTGAAGTCGGAAGAAGCACTGGATTATAAATGGCACTGGTTAATCTTCAACTAACATCAACAGGAAGCCAGTGGCTTGGGTGGGAAATTCCAAACCTCGCAAACAATATGTTTTTGGCCCATGTCAGAGTAAAAAAACTGGTCCCTTATGAGCGTTTATGGAGAAATTCTGACCTGGAAACACTTGTTTTGCATTACAGCCCAGCTCTGAGTAAACAAACTGCAACGGAGCTGGAGGTTTTACATGTGGGAGCTGTCAGATTCAGCTGATGTCCATGAGGTTCCTTGAAACACTTTTGATTTGTGGTTGAGCTGTGCCCTGAGGTGCTCAGCGCTCCCTGGCAAATACGTTGGGACCTTGCGAGCAGCTTACGGGGCCGTGGGGGAGCGTCAAGAAGTGGGCTGCAAAGGACTGGGGGGCTCAGCAGCACCCAGGTGGGTTGCTGCCTCCAGCACCCGTTTCGTGGCCCCGTGGATCAGCCGGTGTGTGTAACTTGGCTCCCAACACGGGTGCTCTGGCTTTCACTTGTGCTTTGTCGCAATTGTTAAAGCAAACCCCAGACTTCTCCCTTCCTTCCCTGCCTTAAGGTAGTTTCCTTTCACGACGAACCTTTTCATCTCTAATATTAATAGAAAACGATGATTTCCTTGCTTATGTTTTAGCTTTGCCAACTGCGAAAGACTTTTTAGTAGCTTTAGGAGCTGATTTGGTTTGCTTGGAAATTATATGTATTGCATCTCGGCCTCCTCCCAACGAGCTGAAGTGGTAGTGGGATGCAGCACGTGCAGGCAGCACTTGGGCTTCACAACACCTGATTAACTGAACGGATCTATTCAAAAGCCACAGGTTGGACTCGGGACTTTGTGAAAGCTTTATTTGTCTTTCCGAACGCTGGTTCGTTCTGGAAGTCGGGAACCTGGTGCTGTGACCCAGAGCTGCGTGCGGATGGGGCACGGCCGGGAGCACAGCCCACGTGGCTCCGTGCCAGGGCTGGTTCAAGCCATCCTCCAAACGAACAGCAGCTCAGGAGCAATTCCTTCCTCTCCTTCCGCTGGGGTTCGGGGGAAAGGCAGAGAGGTCAGGGTGAGCTGCGGGGTGACGCGCGCGGAGGTGCGGTGCCTAGTCTGAGCTCGGTTAAATCCCCAGGGTCGTTTTGCTGCCTGGCCAGGCAGACCCGTGCCTGGCCTGTGCAGAAACGATAAACCAGAGAAGCAGGAGGGGTTTTACAGCAGCGTTTTCAACAATGGCTCTACAAAAGGGTGAAGCGTCTATAAGTGGAGGGCAGTATCTCATCCTTGAGTGGGAGGGGGGGGAATCCTGCATGAACATCACAGCACCGTGCCGGAGGCTTCCCAACGGCTGGAAAGACGAGATTCCTGCAGTCCTGCACTGCTTAGTCAGGAGAGGCAACAGGCAAACACCCCGGGCTTGCTGGGAGAGGAGGTTGGCTCGTGCTGGACACGCTCTGTGTGTGTTTTCCCGTGGGAGGCTCCTTCTGCAGAGGGGCGGCTGCTCAGGCACGTGGGTTCTTGGTTTTCCCTGGCTGGGAGAGCTCCGGGTGCAGGCAGAGCGGAGGGGATGGGTGCTGGTGGAAACGTCCCGTCCCCTGTGTGGGTTTGCCAGGCCTGGAGTGTTTGTGCAGGCAGGGTGGTGTCGGGGCCGCTGTGCCGTGGCCTGGCAGCATTTTGCTGCACCAGGGCTTCCCGCTGCCTTCGCAACTCCTGAGTAGGAGAAATAGGATCTTTGTAATTACCCTGCAAATAGCTTTTAGAGAGAAAGCCATAGTTCATCTTGCACAGGATGCTGCAGGAGAGATTGCTGCTCCCACGGGTTTTTCTTTCAGAGCATCCCTGGGGGATCCCTCTGCACCTTGCCTGTTGGCAAAACCCTTTCGTGCTGATCCCGTTTCGTGAGGATCCTCTCAGGAGGTCTCCAGATGGAAGTGGCTGACGTTGCCTCCGGGCGAAGGGCTTCTCCCCGCCTCTAGGCTTAAAGTAAAATAAAATACCCCTGTTCGGTCTGTTCAGGGTCCAGGCTGTCCCTGGCTTTTTGCTGTTATTTGGGTAATCACTGCAGAGTTACTGCAGGAACCGCTTGGAGCTGGTTACTGCAAAGTGATGCTGCTCCTCCGCTCCCCTGGGGCTGACCTGGGGGTCGGAGCTGCCAGGGCTGCGGCAGTGCGAGCCTTGGGTTGGCTTCGCTGCTTTCACGCTTAAATAAGCAGTAAAGACGGATGGGTTTGCCGTGGCGAGAGTCACTTTGGCAGGGTGAGTCCCTTTTCCATGTCTGCAGCTCCCTCCCTGTGTGTGTGTGCGTGTGTCCTGGTCAAAGCCACCCTCTTGCCAAGCTTTCAGCCGAGCTGTCGGCTTCCCAAGGGAAATCCTGCTTTGAAGAAACCCACCTCCCCATGGCAGAGTCCCAGGGCAGCTGCAGTGATTAACAGTCCTTGGGCTGCCATCCACACCCCCCCCCCTTGAGGATATAAACCCCACTTTGGTGATCCTGACTCACGCAAACCGGCGCTTCTGACTCCGATGGGAAAAGCGTTACTCACGTGAGCCTGTTTGCAGGATCAGGGCTCTAATTATGGGGTTTGCCCATCTTGTAGCGTGGGAACCAGAGCCATTAGCCCCTAAACCTCCAGATCATTCCCAATACATTAATGTTTCTAATTAGTTAAGCATGATGCCTTTTTCTCTCTGTAATGACAGTGGCGCTAGTACTTACTCGTGTTCGCTCTGCGTGCTGGTACTTCATTATATAATGATACAGTATGTGTTGTAATACCTATTCCCAACTGACAGTGGGTTGTTTTGTTTTTTTTTTTTGCATATGCCTCATCCAGAGCTGATTAGGCAATGGAGAAGACAGGCTATTGCAAATAAATGTTTGGGTCGCATCCTTTTTAATTAGCTGGGAAGTTGTCAGTGCAGAGAGGAATTAGGGCCAGGGGAGGACCCAGAGCTGGTGGATCAGCTGGAGACCATCACTGTGGGATGGGCAAGATGAAAACCTGTTGCCTAATTTTTTATTTTTTTTTTTTGGTGCTCCTTTAGGGGATGAGCTGCCCTTTCCCTGGGCTGTGTTTTTGTTCCCAGTCCCTTCTTCCCTTCATTCCAGGGAAACCATCTCCACGGCAACCTCAAACCTCCGGGCTCTGCCTCGGAGCTGCTCGCCCATCCCCAGGACCCGGCGGGTAAGTGCCTTGGCAGGGCCAGCCATGGTGGCCTTGGCCACCGGGTCCATCGGGCTGCGCAGGCAGAGCCCGGGTTGCTGAGGGCTGGAGTTGGGCTTGGCAGGGCTGTGGGTCTATAAACACCCTACCCTGGCTCCCCTCATCCTCGGGGCTTGGCTTGTGCTTTGTACAGAAAAATGGGTGGCCATGGCTGTCTTCATGCAGGGGAAGCTCAGCCCTGGCTCAGGGTTCAAGGTGAACCCTTGTGCTGTTCCCCTGCAGAGGCTCTGCCTGGGCTCAGGGATGTGCTGCTCAGCGTGTCGTGGCTGGTCGTGCGTCCATCCCTACTGGCCTTGCTTAGGCCATGACCAAGCCTGATGCCAATTTTTCGTCTTTTCTACCACGTTAGAGATGGGGAGAGCAGGAGCTGGAGGTGGGAACTCTGTCCCCTCTCAGTGCTGCCTGAGGTGTGGGTGATCACCGTGGAAGTGGTCGAGGCTGTGCTGGGCTCCCAGCTTGTGGCATCGTACGTGCACATCGCTGGCACCGTGCAGGGGTGGTGGGGGTGCTCCTTTCTTGTACGTGGGCAAAAACGGGTCCTCTAAGATGCAGGATCTTGCTGGGGGCTCGGTGATTCCTGGTACGGAGCAGCAGCAGGAAACGAGTTCATTTCTGGCATAATTGGGATTAATGGTGTGTAACTGGTGGAAGTGGGAATAAAAAATGACGTGTGAGGATGGGTGTGCTTTGCCTGGAGCTGGTTTTGGGGGAAGGTTGGGGCGGGGGCAGCGCTGGGTCCTGGCTCTGCCTGTGACACTCTGTCCCTCGGTCCCCGCAGGGCAGGATGAAGCTGCTGGGAGCGCTGTTGCTGGCTGCTGGCCTGCTCGGCCCTGCTGCCCGGGGGGAGCAGCACCCCCGGACAGATGAGCCCCCCCGGACCTGCTTCTTCCAGCTGCTCAGTGGTGAGGACAGCGAGTTCTGCAGGTGAGCTGCTCCCTGGTGTCCCCTCTCCAAAGCTCACCGGCCCTGGGTGTCCAGTCACACGCTGCCCTTGTCCAGCGTGTCACCTCCTGGGACAGTTAATTCCAGTGTCCCCTTTGCCAGGGCTATAAATATTGGTTGCTTTCTTCCTTTTGCCAGGAATCTGGGCCAGAGCGAAGCAGAGCAGTTGCCTGCCACGCCATCCAGCTCTTGTTTTATTCAAGCTGAGATCTTGGTGTCTCTGGTCACCTCGAGTTGTTTCCCAGTCTGTTGTGCAGAGGTTTTTAAAGTGACTTACAGCATGGGAGGTGACAAATGTTTTCTGCAGAAAGTTTCAGGGGAAGGAGGCTTACTTTTTGGGGAAGGAAAGTCCACCCTGCAGACCTCACCCCACGGAGATGCTAATGTTTACTGAGCGTGGGCATGGGAGGAGGAGGAAGGACGAGGAGAGCTTCTCCTGGAGCTGCAAGCAGGCGGTTTGCTGCTGTACCAGCCGGGCCCCCCCGGCTGAACAGCCATGGAATGCACCCCCTTAACAATTGTTTTGAGACTGAAGGTCCTTGGTTTAATCTCTTGTTGCCTGTGGGTTGCTGGAGATGGGAGGCAGGACTGGGCGAGCAGCAGCACACGGGTGCCCCTTGCCCTTGGAGTTCTTAATATCCTGCATTACTGGCAACTTCTGTATCAAAAACATCCTTTCTACCATTTCTCATTTAACCAAAATACTCTCTAAAGGCGTGACTTGAGCTTCTAGATTAAGGCAGGCAGAGACTTCACTTGGCCTCAGCTTCCTCCCACAAACCATGAGCTTTGAACTCAGCCTCCTTTGTGCCAGGCCCGTGCTGCTGCTGCTGTTTGCTCAGCAGCCTCCCGGGCTGCGGGATTCGAGGGTCACGTTGGTGGCAGCTAATCTTCAGGGTGGCCTTGAGACACGCTACCCACACGCTGCGGTGACCTGGCAGCCGGCCCCAGCGGCCCCTTTCTCTGTTAGATAACGCAGAACTGGGGAAAGCGCTTTGTGCAGAGGCTGGAGGTGTCTGGCTGACCCGTTATTGCACTGTCTGTGCCCAAAATGCAGAGACTTGTCCCTGCTTTTATAGCAGGAGGGGGAAGCTCAGAGCTCAAAAAGCTTTTCTGGGGCCAAGGGGGAGTGGGGGCAGCTTTGCCCTCTTGCTCCCCATCTTCAAACCTCAGATTAACCTGTACGGGCCATGATTTTTTAAAAGACTGTGGAAACCACTGGGTGTATTCAGTGTGCAGAGCCATAATGAATGTTCAAAGCCTTGCTGAGTGTGTGGGGGGGACCAGACCCCACAGTTACGGTGGAGCACAGAGTGTGTTATCCTGGTGCCCAACACCTTTGGTGGCAGCAGGTTGGATCCTGCATCCCCTGCCCAGCATCGCAGCAGCAGCAGCTCAAGCCCAGCTGGGAAGGAGCATCAATCCCCCCCCCCCAACTCCTTGCATAGCGTGGTCTTGCCCTACAACCTCTTTTTCTCCCTCTTTTCTCCCCAGAGGGGATGTAGAAATTATCTACCCAGAGCTGGGCGACGTGGGCTGCACGTACATCCCCAAGTGCCACTGGTACCGGCGGCGGATCAGCAGGGAGTGGGGCAGCCCCCGCGTCCGGTACCCCCAGGCTGACAAGGTGAGTCCCGGGTTGTGTCTGCTCCACGCCGCTCCGTGTCAGTGAGACACCTCTAATTGGATCGTCGCAGGGGAAGGATTCCGTGGGAAATCATTGTGTACACACGCGTGCGATTGTGCTTTGGCTGGTGAACTGGGCCAGGCGGGGACACCCAAAGGGCGGGCGCTGGGTGCTGGGGGCACTCGGGGAGGTGGTCACCCAGTGCCAGGGGGGTTGGGCACTGCTGTCCCCGGCCCAAGTGCCATCAGCCGCTCGGGTTGTGCTTGTTAAACTTTTGCCTGAGATCAGGGTGAATTTCTAAGGGTTTGTTTTGTTTTGTTTTTTAGTATTTTTCCTCATTGCTTCACAGGTTTGGTCTGAGGGTGTGCTTAAACTAAAACACTTTTTTTTTTTTTTTTTACTATCTTATATATAAAAAAAATAAATTGCAAACATAGGTTGATTTTTTTTTTTTTTTTTTTTTTTTTAATATTTATTTTGCAATTACTTGTAAACTTTTTAAAGCAAACAGGCTCTGCTGCCTGCCTGGAGAAACCAGATTGATTAAGGTGAGCTCCCGGGTTGCTCAGGGGCTGTAGGATTTGTAATGGGGCTTCGGGGGTGGTGGGGGGCCCGATCCCTGCTCGGACCCTCCCTCCGGGGCTGCTGTTCCCTCTCATTGTCGCCAGGTGGCAGCATTGAACTTCCCGAGCCACCAGTTGTGCCGGACTGGGAGCACTGGGAGCCGCTGGGCTCCTGCGGGGGGGCTGCACCCGTGCTGGGAGGGGGTGTGTGTGGGGATGCCTTGAGCAGGGAAGAAGTGGGGTGTTGTGCGGGTCTCTGCGAGGTGTCGGGATGTCACCCTGCACCCCCAGGGTCCCGCTGGGACCTGCCCAGTTTGGGGACCAGTTGGGTTGTAGAGGAGACCTTGTGCCTGGCCCCGTCAGCACCCCAATAGCTGCCAGGAGCGGGTCCCCCATCAGTAGCTCCAGCCCTGGCAGCTGCGGATGCTTCAGCCGTAGCTAATGAGGGAGAAACTCGGCTCTTGTTGTCTTGGCTTTACCTTGAAGTGTTAAGAATCAGTTTTTCTGGCTGTTTCATTGCCGTCTGGAAAGTCTCTTCCCCCTGTTGATCACATGTTTTGAAGTATAACTTTCCCTTAAAGATGTCTGATTCTTCCAAAAAAAAAAAAAAAAAAAAAAAAATTAAAAATAATCCTCCCTGGCAGAGGATGCTGTACACAAAATCATCCATCATTTGTGCGTTACGTTCCGGTAGTTTGAAATTCCCCAGGGATGTAGGCAGTTGCTTTCCTTTTTATTTTTGTCCTGGAAAGGGAAGGGACTTGGCTGTGGTGATGCTGGTGGGTGCTGCTCTGTCCGGTAAACGATGCTGTGGGGAGGATTTGGGGGATAAGCAGAGCCAGACCCTTGCCTGGCCGTGCCTGGGGGGATGCCGGATTTGAACTTGAAAACAAGAGCAGGTGAGTGAACCTGCCCAGGCTGGGCTTGGGGAGCTGGCTGTGCGTCACTGGTGCAGGTTTATTTTGGGATGGGATGCCGACTGGGGAGGGGGGCAGCTCCCCGGGGAGCCCCTCGCAGAGGGTCGGCAGCTCCCGCTGGCATCAGGGCTGGCTGATGGCTCGTCTCCGCTGGCAGATTTGGCACCGTTTCCTTCCAAGACAACTCGGCACATCTTGCGCTGAGGCGGCATCTGAGGACACGGGCCCCGCTGCTTCCTTGGTTTGCATTTATTCTCTCCTCTGGCCTTTGCCAGAAACACATCCCCAGCTCCACGCAGCCGGGAGGCTCCCAGCTTCTGCAGTCGTGCAAACTGGGGTTTAATTTTGGGCAAGAGGCTGGACGGCCTTAAATCCATTGCAGAGAACTGGCTCTGAATTTCCTCAGGCTTTCTTTATGGGAATACGTACGTTTTTCTTACTCCCGAACCTGTAAGGATGCTTTGGGATAACCTTTTCCCCCCCCAAAAAAAAAATCACCCTAAAGTGAGTGGGAACAAGAGTTGCCTCATCCTATGCCAGGGCTGAGGCGTGCATAGGCAATGGGGTTGCTTTTTATGGTTTACGATGGGATTTCTGAGGTCAGGACACTTGATTTTATTTTTTAGTTTTTATTCCCAAGTGAGAATGGGAAACCTCACTCTGCTAAAGTTATCTCCATTTATGTGATGCTTCTCAGCTACGGTCCTGCCGAGCCTTGGCGATCTCGTGGATGGAGTGGTGAGAGATGGGCTGGGTAAAGGGCTGGCTACGCTTTTTCTGTCGAAATCAGTGGCAGAAAAACTCGGGGTTTGAGTATGAAAACTTGTGTAGGAAGTGTCTGCTTTCTGTGGAACACTTTGTCTCTTCAAGAAAAACAACCACCAAAAAAGCCAAATGCGGAGTGTTTGTTTTTATCTCCGGAAATATTTATCAGTTTTTCAAGGTGGGGGGACGGGATGTTTCCCATCCCTGTTCCAGATAGAGCTCATGAGTCTGGGGGGGCCCCACGTTTCACCCTGCCTGTGCCCCAGGTCTCTGCTCGCAGCCTTGATGCTCCCTGGTGAAGGTTCTGTCGGTGTGTTTGGGTGAAGGCCCTTCAAGTGGGGCAGCATCTTGCAAAGCTGAGCTTTGGTAGGCCTGGGGGACTTTAATCCATCATTTTATGTGTGTTTGTAGGGTTTCTTTTAAAATCCCTCGCTGCTTCTCCAGTTTAGACACTGGGCCATTGCAACCCGGCAGCCAGCTTTACCAAACATCACTGTTCCTTCCCAAAAGACCCATCTCTGACTTCTTTAGTGCCGTGAAGGCAGCCGTTAGGCCTGGCTGCTATCTCTGAGCAGCAGGCTCAGGCCAAGGAATAAGCCACATCGCCAGACCTGGGAGACCGGGGACGGGTGGTTTGGAAACCCTTGAGCTGCTGGGCGCAGCTGTACAGACCTGGGCGCGTGGTTTGGGCGCGTGGGAAGCGCCTGTCCCCGTCCCTGCGCTGTGGCAGAGCAGCCCTTGGTCCATCCTGGTGTTGCAGAACCCCGGGTGGGGTTGAGATGCAGCCCTGAGGATGCTCAGTCCTTGCTGGTTGGCTCTGTGGGCAGCCTTGGGGCAGCAGGTGACAGGGAGCAAACACCAAACTCAGCCCTTAAAGGATGCGTCAGCATCTTCCTGAAAACCCCATCAGAGGAGCTGCTGCCAGGGCCCTTTCCCAGGCCAGGGAGGAGGCAGGAGCAGGGGAGAACATCTGGATAGACGGGAAATACGCCCTCCTTGTCCTGCCTTGATATTGCTTCGCTCAACCAAAAATAAATTGGAAAAGAAAATTGGACATTGCATCAATTTGGGGCAAGTTTATAAATTCTGCAGCTAAGCAATCCCAATAGAAAATGATAGATCGCCCGCGAGCACGCGGCCCCTGCCGTGATGTATAGTCGCATTAGCCCAAACGCCGTTACATGATTCTGTTTTATTACCACTGTTGGTGGCAGACAGAAAAACAGATTACGCTTGAGATCAAATCGATAGGAACTTTATTTACTGGCCTTTTAAAAACATATTTCTGCACTTTATAAAAACATACGGTAGATGCTATTGATAGAACTTGTCTGCTTGTTAAAAAGCAATTTACCTGCCGCGATGTTCTCGGGCTGCAGTTTACGGCGCTACCTTTTACCTGCTCTTCCAGATTTGTTTTCATCGCGGGGTTTGACAACTTCCTTAGAGGTTTCTTTGGGCTGTGCTGTTGCTCCTTTAGAGTGTGGGAAAAGGGTAGGACTTGCTTTCTGGCCCAGGGGCCAGATGTTTCCAAAATAAAGTGATTTTTTTTGTTGTTTTCGGGGTTCCTACCCCCACCTGAACTTTTAAAAATTTATTGTTTTTGCAAGACCCCTCTCCTGTCTAAAGCAATCTGAGAACTTGCGCATCTGTGAATGAGAACTTCTTCCTGCAGCTGTACAGATCATCGCCTTTTCTCGGCTCTTTCAAGAATTCTACATTTCGGCAATATCTTATTTAAAACCATTTCCATGCCAAGGAGGAGCTGCAACTGAAAAGGCAGCTGGAAAAGCCCCCCCCCTCGCCATGTGAACCATGGGATGATGCCCTCACGGGTTGCATCAGGCTTAACGCAGCAGCAGCTCTTTGTGTCTAAGCCTATAACCAGCACCCCAGGGTGCTGCTCCCGGGCTGGAGAGCCAGGGTGATGTCCTGCTGTGGCACCCGTGTCCTGGGTTTGGCCGGGATTGCAGCTGTGCCCAGACTGAACGAACCTCTCCCAGGAGCTTGGAGTCCATGGCCAAGTCCACTCGTGGGTTAGATCCCAGCCTCGGCCCTGACTCTCCTCCTTTTGTGAACACTTGGTGGCTGGGCTGGGGACAGTCCTGATTTATAAAGGTTTCTGTGCTCTAGGGTCTGGGGCCTATTATTTGGAAAATTACTCGTATGAGGAAATTCATTAGCTTTTAACAAAAGGAGGCGAAGGTCTGCTTAATATCCTAATTGGGATGTGCTCTAGTTGTGTCAGGCAGTGATTTGCAGCTGGCTGGAAGAAGGGGCTTCTGAGTGGCACTCAGGTTAAATTCCAGTCTCCTTACAGAAGATGGTTTTAAGCAGAAGATTCCTGACAGTCTGTGTATCCTCGCTGGCTCCTAGAACCGTCTGGGGTTAAGGAGCCACCACTGTGTGTTGTTGGGTTTGGGGTTTTGTTTTTTTTTTTATTTCTCTCAATCCTGTCTGGGCTACTTAAAAAACAATGGCCCAACATTCCTTCCCGATGCTGTCAGCCAGATATTATGGGGATTAGCCCAAGCCCCCGGTGATGAACCCCTCCCTTTTGCCCTGCTGGAGCTGATGCTGGTTTGGGTTCCCATGCCCCTGGACCGCGCCGTGGCATGCCAGCACCCCCGACTTCAGAGGGCGGCCAGCCCAGCGGCTCCCCGGCGCCTGGGACCGGCCCGGCTCTGCAGCCGAGGGCTTGGTGCGAGGCCTGCGAGCTACCCAAGTGCCTCTTTGAGGGTGCTAAAGCAAAAAA